AGCACTTGGAGCCCCAGGATCTCTTAAACGAATTTTAAGATATTAAGGAAAGAGTAGTGTTCCACCTAATGTACAAAATTAAGAGAAAGAAAAAAACTTTAGATTACATGACAGGATATAGGTTTCTTGGTAGAATGAAAAGAAGGAAGTAGAAGTTCATACCTGAATGGATTAAGTGCATCTAAGTTGGGTGGAGGATCACAACGAGAATAGACTTCAGCGAGAGCTACTGGCAACGTGCTTCTGTCCAAAGTATGCTGGTCAACTAGCATAGAACTTTTGAAAGGTTTCCGCATTTGTAGTTCGCCCAAGCTGGCTAAAAGATAGCCTTCAGCAAGAAAAAGACAAATGATACATTGAAAGAGGTATAATTTAGATGTTTAAGTGCTGAGCATTATAAAATATATTTTAAAGACTGCAATAAGCGATAAACGTTTGCTCATGAGATAAGCCGAAAAGACTTGTTTTTACTCACCCTGCTCATTGGTTGAATCCAACTTGGACACCTTTTCCGTGAGGTTTGCTATCCGCTTTTCAAGGGTATTGGATTTATGATCCAACTTCATCGCTTCTAAGTAGATTTCACCAAATATGTGCTCTGCATGCTTGCTGATAGAGCTCAACTGTCTAATAAGATTCGCCAATGAGCTATTTGCCACGTATTGAAGTTCTCCATTTGTAACTTCTGGTGGTATTTTTACCCGACTAACGTCTACTGGTGAGACTGCCCGCTTGATTAGCGGCATCTGCAAAGGCCCATTTAAAAGATGAACTGGTTAAAAAAATAAACGAGCATGATTATCAGCATCGATAATCAAATAAATACATACGAAGGAAGATAGAAAAGCCGTTATTGCAATGATTTGAAAAAGCGTAGTGATATTGGAAGGCCATAAACGATTTCAAAGATCACCGTGATATAATGTAATGTGCTAATATAAAACAAATCTCAAATTTTCATTCTCATAGATCATACGCATAAAAGAATGTAAATAGACGATGTCAGAAAAGCAAACATTCTATCTAAGGCGATACAGTTATATTGCAGCGGCTAACGATGATACATTTCAATGGAGTTTGAAAAAAGTCTTGATAAATTGTGGAACGTAGTTGTTGAGCATACACATGCATTTATTTCTGCGTAGGAACAGAAGAAAACTAGCCATTCCATGGGGATACAAACGGCGTCGAACTATGACCTAGATCCAAACTGCGATATTGGAACTAGCAGCTGACTTGAATACTTCCAAACGCAGTGAAGTTTAAAATAAAAAAGGTGGCTAGGCAAGAAGATAAAGATCTTAACATCTAGGGAATTACTACTTAAACATCGAACACTTAAAAGCTTCCAAAAACAAAGAACCAACCAAAAGCTTTTTTTTAG